TGAGTGAAGAAGAAGCAGTATCAATTTAGTATTTCGTTGCTCTGATACCATGTTAGAATAAGGAACCTCCATTGGAGGTCATCACACATTCTAGAAGATAGCAGAGAAGAGAGAAGGAAAAAGAGATGATGCAAAATAAAATTCAGATATCTTCATTCAAGGAGGAAACAATACATATATACACTCATCACTCAACTCACACGTGCACATAACTAATTAGACAATTGAACATGTGACTCCTAATAAATACATCTAAAGCTTATATAACAAGTATTTAACCATTCAATTGGCCATTTGAAAGTCTTAAATGTCACACAACTGTAATACCCTAACTACAAAATATTTGTTTCTTGTGATCAGCTTCAATGAGGAGATTTCTAGTATATATTATCACAAACAGTTGGAAAGATTATGTGGCATTACACTTGAAATGCTAAGTACGTAATCAAATTTAACTTCCACTTCCTATGACATTACCTACTATGGTTTTAATTGACTATGTAACTCGTCTCGAGGTCACATAATTGACATTTTCGTTAACAAATGCAACACCACTCCCAAATTATTCGTTTAATTGTTCTTGAAGATTATAAATACCTTAATTATGAGTAAGTATAAAATGAAGAGAGATTATATTTTAAGAAATAAATAAGGGTAAAATAGTCAAAAAACTTTCCTATTTAATATTTTCTTAAGAAACGTATAAAAGAGAAACACGACAGATAATTTGAGACAGATGAAGTACCAAATTATAAATGAAGGATTGGATGATAATAGGCACTGCTACCTCAAATGGCGATCGATTAAGGACCGTTTCTCCATAGACTTTTTTTGCGTTATTTCTGGATTTTTTTTCCAAAGACATATTTGTCTAAGAAAATTTGTAAATTTTTGAAGATTTTTCGAAAATGAGTTTTTCAAAGATCAAAAAGTGATTGACTTTTCAGTTTTCGGGATATTTTTTTTCCCACTCATAAAATTGTACGTAATATTTTTTAAGTGAAATATACGTCAAAATATAATTTTTAAACTTAACTTCAAATATTATTTTATTAAAATATTATAATTTTTATGTTCAAACGCTTACTTAGCATCACTCATTGATTTTGTACCAAAAAATATCTGTAGTTAGTGCAATGTTGTAAAAGGATGACGCTAAATGTAATAACATCAAAAGGATGAGGCTTAAATGCAATAAACCAAACCCATGGGGCTCTTAGACGTGGACAGGTTTTGGTCCCCACTTCATCTAAGCACAGTGGGCCTCCAAAATTACGTTTCCCAATGCCAAATATAGCAATAGGCATGCATTGCCCTACTGTAAATAAATATGGACGTATTTGTTGTCACGCACATCACCGTCACCTCAATGAATCAAACCACGCCTCGTTACAACGACGGCTACTTTGCTTTTCTTCCTACTAACACTTTCTACGATGCTTTCAACTACTCCATCTATTTTACTCTTTTTCGGCGTTGACTATTTTACTTTTACAGTAATTTCCTTTCTGTTTCCTGTCTAATCTACTCCTCTTTTTACCTCTGTTTTGGTCAATTAATTACATAAATAAATTTCAAATGCAGGGGTACAGTTCTTTCAAGTGAATTGACTTTAAGCTTTTAACAATTATAGATAGAGTACACATAAACGTGTACCCTTACTAACCTTGTTTATGGAAGGTTTGGTCATATACTATTAAAAGTTTATTTAGTTAAAATCTCTAAGTTTATGACAAATGCAGGGGCGGATCCACCCTTGTGGGTGGGGTGGTAGGGCACCCACTCGGTTGGTAAAATTATCATATATTTATGTATAAAAAATTTAAATTAGGTTAAATATATGATCTTGTCACTCCCATTCACATACTAGACAAATGTGTCATGATTGATAAATTTTTTTGAAAGCTTTTCTCGTGTGTAAAATTCAAGTTCGAATTTATCTTGAACCTTCTCTTACTTTCCCATTTCGTTGTGCTTTTATTTAATTCTTTGCTCCCGGTCATTTTCCTTTTGGCTACCCCCAATTTCATATTTGTCGTTTATTATTTTTATTTTTTCCCTCTATTCTATTACGTAATCTGTGATATTTAGCAAGAAAACTAAAAACAAAGGCTCCAAAATTTAAAAATTTCATAATATAAGTATTTCTCTTAATCTCGAATCTTTTAGTTTTCTTCTTTCAAAATCGAAAAACTTGAGTCTTGGTATTTAGATTGAGATCAAAATTAATTTATAATTTTTTAATTATAACATAAAAATTTGTGTTATTCTATGATTGTTAAATACAATTTAAATCTCTTTAGTAATAAATTATGATGAATATTTCACAAGCATTAGATTTATGATTTTTTTTTATAGATCTTATAGTTTATCTAATTCTGCATTTACTTATTGGGTATAATTTATCTATTGAAGATATTTTTTTTATTTTTCTTATTCTGATCGGTGGAGTTCCCTTATTAAAGATTTTATTTTACTTGCGCAAATTTATTTTTAGCATACAAAAAAATATAGTTCCTAGTGAAAATAATGATTTTACTTGTATTATTAATAATAAAAGTGTGATTCCTTCTTTAAAATGTTAATTATGTTTGCTTCTTAATGTCTGGGATGTAATTTTCATACGACAATAATAACATATATATACCCAATGAAATTCTATAAGTAGGGTCTGGAAAATTGATGTAATTTTTATATTTGCAAATAAAGTGCTTATTATATTGCCCAAGTAAACTAAAAAAAATGAACCGGCCAAACGTTCCGAACAAACTATATATTAGTAGTTATTATAAGGTGTACATTAAAGAAAATTTTGACATCCACCACCTTTAAATCCTAGATCCGCCTCTGGACAAATGGAATGTCTTTCTCTACATTAAGTGTTTACAAAGTTTAAATTCCCTTTTAATAATTGTCTCACAAAACACAGTTGTATTGCGAGATAGCAATAACTATGCGTCACTAATATCTAGTGAGCCTGAGGAATCTCCCTTTTTGCCACTTCCAAATTGATAATCTGGTATCTGGTTCATGTGATTTTCTATTTGCACCTAAAATTCTTCTTATGGAATTAGAATAGTAGACAGCTCCAGTTTACACAATTTAGGCTTAAGGTTGCAATTCTATAAAGGTTTTCTATTTTAATACCCAAGCCTCTTTCAATATTCACGAGCTCACTCGCATCCCAATAACAAAGGAGTTAATAAGAAAAGTAAAACTCCTCTAACTTAAATTAGTCGTATTATCATCGGGGATACTAATTTTTTCTTAACCAAAAGGGAGGGTGAAGCTAGTAGTCTCGCAACGAGTTCGAATGAATCCAATAATTTTTGTTTAGACTGTGTATTTATTTTAAAAAGTTTATTAAATATGTACAAATATTAAATTTAGTTATTAATATTTGAAATCATTGTTCTAAAATACAAAACCATAGGGTTTAAATTCTAACTCCTCCTTTGCTTGGAATAATTTTTGAAGTAGAAATTAATCCTTGTGGAATAGCGTCTATTTTCAATTCTATATTGAGAAATCCTTTTAGTTTCAAATTATAGTAAACTATAAAAGAAGATACTAATTGACAGTCCAATAATACGTATTCCTTCTATTTTCTTATAGAAGCAGACCCAGAATTTGAAGCTTATAAATTTTCTATGGAACTTGTATGGGCCGAAAATTACCTTTGATATGATCCAACTATGCTAATATTAAGGAGGCACTCGCAAACTGCCACGTATCATCAGTTCGACTTCAAAAAAGACTTGCCCAAGATCCAAGTGGTCTCTCAAGTGACGAAGGGAACGATCGAAGAGTCATCATAGATTAAGGTCGAAGTCGAGCATCTTAGATAGAGTTGTAAGGGCTAGTTTTGGGATAAGACAAAAAAAAGAAAGAATATTCTAGTTGATATTTTCTGCACCTGTACTATTATGATTTTTAGGAATATGTTCCTTATAAATAGAAAGAGACACAATGATAGGGGGATATTCACTTGTAAGAAAACACATTGACTTTAAAAGAAGAATCTGGCTTATCTGCAAGGGTACGAGAAATATCTTTTTCACTAAGATTCTCGTATAAATTTTCCAGTTAATCCAATAACTACTTGAATATTCGAAAGCTCATCAATCATTCATCATTGTCAGAAGGAATATCCTCAAATCTCACACCTTTTCGGGTGATTTGCATGTTCTTATTTACTTGATTGCCATTCATTGTTATTTATTACTCCATCAGTTCCAATTTATGTGAACATATTTGACTGGGCACGGAGTTTAGGAAAAAATAAAGACTTTTGGAATTTATGGTCTTAAACAACTCAAAAGGGGGCCTAGAGTATTTGTGTGGTTATAAAAGTTTCTCATTAAAGATAGAATTGTAACCTTTAGCTAAATTGTTACCAAATTTAGAAAGGGGTTATTCTTTTTAGAACGGACCAAAAAAGAAATAGGTTTACATAAACTGTAACAGAGGGAATACTATTTAATGTCATCCTCCACCTTTTAGGTCATTGAACATTGTTAGTATCTTCAACATCTATTGCCTTTCGGTCAAACATATATATTATCAACTACAATATCGATTAATTTATTTTTGGATATTCATATTAATTAAGATTGACTCTATTTCTTTCGAATCTAATTAGTTGAACCCGAATCTAAATTTTAAATCCAACAAAACCCACAGCTCATCTTAGTTAATAGATTCACAATTAAATATTAATATGTATTTAATAAACTTCTCGATACAAATATATATTGATTGCGCAAAAATGACTGAATTTGACCAAACTCAGCACCTAATAGGTTAGCTCCGCCCCTCTTACATAATTTAGTAAAGAAGGTATTTGGTAGTCCAACAACGCGCAATTCTTCTATTTTCTTACTCCTTTATTTTCAAAATATTTTTATTTTGTCTTTTATATTTGGAATATGACTTACATAATAATAGTTGGGGTAGAAGGATGAGGCACGAGGGGACCAATTAATGGGTTTGTCCCGTAATACCACAACGGGGTTCGAATGTTGGAACTATAGGAAGCAACGCAGCAGCAAATATCTGCTGTAAAATGGCGGCAACTTAAGCTAATCTTTACAACTCTTGAACCGCCTCTGTAATCTGTACTTATTTATCTCAATTTCTGTCTCTTTTTTAGATAAGAAAACAAAACTTTGTTTCAGCTTTGGCTCTACCTAGCTTTAAAAAATCCCAGGGCTTTTAGCTACAACTTTTTTTTTTGGAGTTTACTGTAGTAAATTAGAGAGCTTTTGCTGGAGAATATGGGGAACGGCGAAAACACTGAGCTTCTGGATTTGAAGATGAAAACCACTGAATCATCACCATCTTCATACCCTTATAAAAGAACTATGTTCATGTCCCCCTCTTCTCATCCTCACTTGGCTGCTTTTGATAAAGAGACTAGCAGTAATAGTACTTGTCTTGCTGATGACGGAGGAAGCGGCGGCGGAGGCGGCGGTGGGCCCGGGGATTTTGTGGGGAGCGATAGCTACGCTGCAGCAGCACTTTCATCTAGGGCTTTGCAACCTTTCAGCTGTTCTGCTAGTACGTTTTTTCAATCTCTCTGTTACATATTCTCTTTTTTTTGGGTACCAAAAAAGAAGAGTTGCAGAAGAAAAAAACAAGATTTGAGGTTTTGGGATTATTTTGTTTTTGCAGGAGAAAGCATGTTTCTTTCTGGAAAAGCTCCTTTTACAGCGTCGCAGCTGCAGGAGTTTCAAAGACAGACAATAATATGCAAATACATAATGGCTTCCGTTCCTGTTCCTCCCCAGCTACTCCTACCTTTGTCTAATAATCCATCTTCAGCTCACCTCCCTCAATCTAACAGTAAATCTTGTCCTTTTAAATTTGTCTATATTAATGTATCCTCTTTACCTTTTTTATTGCACTATTTGTATGTTAAAAGGGTGCGAATGTTTGTTTTGTATGTGTAGCATCGGGTTTGGATTTGAAGTTCTCAAGAGGGTCAGATCCAGAGCCATGGAGGTGTAAGAGAACAGACGGTAAAAAATGGAGGTGCACAAGGGATGTAGCTCCTGATCAGAAATATTGTGAGCGTCATGCTCATAAAAGCAAACCCCGTTCAAGAAAGCCTGTGGAAATTCACAATACCAACAACAATTCCAATAATCGACACCCTCCTCCTCCTACTACTCGCAACCACCACCGCTCTTTACAATTTCCAACTGTGCAACTCTCTGAACAAACCAGGTGTGTAGTTTTTTGAAAGATCTTTCCTTTGAATCTTACATTTCAATCTTGAAGGGAGACTTGGCTTAATTGGTAAACTTGATGTCATGTGATTTAGAGGTTACAGATTCGAGCCGTGAAAATAGTCCCTCGTACAAATTGCAGAAATGTAGGGTAAAGTTATGCCTTGTCGTCTAGCTTTTTCTCGGACCCGTACATAGCGAAAGCTTAATAGACCGGGCTGCCTTCGAACATTTCAATTTTCCATGTTCATTCATATGTGATGTGACTATACTTAAATTTCCTATGTGGGTATCTTATTGATTCACTTTTTGTTCTTATCTTAAGGAGTTATGTGGGTGGGACTAGTCTTTTCTGGACTTTTATACCTATGCAAATAAATGTGAAATTGATTGGTTTTCTTTTTCTGCTTTTATGAAAGGTGCATTGAGTGGTTAGGGAGAGGAGACCGAGGTGGCACTATCCCTATCATTAGTTGTAACCAGCAAAATTTGCAGCAACTCATGCAATCATCTTCTGGAATGGGATTCAACAATGACCACACGGACCTTAACAGAAGAAATACACCAGCATTTCAAATGCAAGACGAGGCAAAATTATATCCTATGAACAACTTTAATCAGTACATATCAAATAGGAGTAGTGGCCAGACATTGGAAAGTAGTCCTCTAAAGAATGAAGAGTGTAGTGACTCGGTAATTGCCTCATTACAGGGAAGAACGACTAGGGATTTCATCGATGCTTGGTCAAAAGACGGACTTAATGATGGTATAAGCAACAACGGGTCTTTTACTTCGCTAACGTTATCAATGTCTGGTTGGAATCATGGAATGGATGAGGATAACGAACATGCGCAAGTGAGCATTAATAGAATGCTGGATTCCGAGAGAAGTAGTGACGAGGTTTTGAGGTCACAGTGGCTTAGCCCTGTTTCTTGGATGAGTTCAACAGCACCAGGAGGTCCTTTAGGTGAAGCATTGTGTCTTGGAAATGCTACTAATTTACCTTCACCTCATGGCTATAGCAATAGTACTGCTAACAGTAGTTGCAGCTTCAATTCCTGTGAGAATGGTAGCCATGGACTCGACTTCATCGGCTGATGATCGTGCAATTTTCGCCGCTTGTAAAATGGTGAAAGCATGTAACAACAATCTTTGATTTTTGAAAATTTGACAGTCCCATCTCTTGTTCTATTTCAGTTTTAAGTATCATTCACGCGGTATGCAGAAGCTTTTGATTATCAACTATTTCTTCTCTCTATATATACTACAAATCTCAGTGATTGAATTCCCACATTATATTGTTCTCTATGAGTAGGAGGTTGCACTCTAGATTATGAAAAGAAATTTGATCATATTCTTGAATAGTGAGCAACCTTTTAATGCTAGTCCAAAAATCAACCATGCAGTTACTCTGGAATTATTTTTGTATGATTACGAATCTATTGAGAATTCTTTTGGCGTCTCTAATATTTGCATGAAAAATGCCAAAGGTTGGATCAAGTAAACCAGTTGTTGCAGTGCTCGTGACTGGGAATTGAATGCATTTATTAACATCTTGAAATATGAAGGCAGCAATGCTTCAATATCCAAGGGACGATACTACCTAGTAGGTGTAGTGTTACATCATTTCAAGCATTTAGTGTTTCATCTTTTAATGCTACAAGAGATATTTTCCTAAAAATATAACGTTGTTAAGTTGTGCCGTCTACGTGAAGACGAGGTTCAAGATTTAAACGGTAGATTTGGGCTACGATAATAAGCCGAGTCGACCTAATATTTCTGACAGGTTATAACATGAATTTATGTTTTATGCATTTTATTACCGTGCTAAGAGGTAAAGTCTGAAATTTTTCATATCATGATGGCCTAGAGAATAGAGTAGTAAGCAGGATGCAAGTGTATTTAATTTAAACGCTTAGGAGTCGTTTGATTGGGCAAATTATCCCAAGATTAATTACACCAATTAGTTATCCCGGAATTATTATCCCACCTTCACATAGGGATAAAAATACACTACAATCTCCGGATAACTAATCACGGGATTAGTTATACCGCGATTTTATTTTACTTACTCTGCAATTAATTATCCCAACGAAACGTGGGATAAATTCATCTCAAATTTAATTTTGAGATTAATTATTCTTTCTTCCTCGTACCAAACTGTTTAACCAAAAAAATGGAATTTTAGTCAAAGCTAGAATTTAGAAGAACACGAGTTACTGATAATCGAAAGAATATGTAAAAGAGAGTAATTTGGGTAGCAAGAATATAATCAGGAGAAAAACAAGTAAACCAAAATATATTCCAATAGTGTTTCGTGTCCCTACAATTGATCTCAATTATCTCCCTTTTATAGCTATTTGGGAGATATGCATTTTGCCCTTGTCTTAATAAGGCTATTATGAGTAATTAAAGACATTGAATGCTACGTTACACAATCATTGTATTTAATACAGATTTTCTAACATATTCAGTATTTAATGCTCATTAAATACTGTATCTGTACTCTCATATATTGTCAGATTCATTCCCCTTAATTCCCTTACCTAAATGACTTAAATAGATACGGGCGCCGAGTCCTTTGAATATTTGCCCGTGTCTCTTCCTTTGCCTTTGCTCGTATCTGTTGCAACTCGTGTCTCTTTGCCAGTTGTAACTCTGTGACTAATCTACGTGTCTTGACACGTCATCTTTATTCCACTTTAATATGTAAACTCAATTTTTCCCAATACAGATAGTCCCCCACTTGCCATTTATTCATCAATTGAATATTTGGGAAGTAGATTTCATTAAAACGAGAATTTTTGTCACCATTAATGCTATGACAAAATTGATGCTTCAATTGTCACTTCTATTTAATGCTCTTTACACGTGTCACCTTTTTATTAGTTCTGCAATTCTGCAGCCCTTTTAAGGCTTTTTCATGGCTCCATTATTCACGAAACGTCAGTTATCATTATTATGGTACTTCCACCATCACACTTTTTCCTTCGACGGTCGCTTATCAGTATAAATATAACTTCTTTCTTTGTCTTTTCCACATAAAGTTTACTGAATATTCAACCTCTCAAATCCCTGTTTGCTTCTTTATCGTATCATCCTTCTTCATCATGTCTTCTTCAAATTCTAACCCTAGAAGGATCCTATAGTTGATTCCTTCCCTAATGCCCCCATTAGAAGCAGAAGGGGAGGTAGACTTCGTAATTTAGGATTTGTTCGTGATTCTTCCAATCCTTTACCTAGTTCTGGCCCTTCTTCTAGAACTAGGGGTTCACTTTCACAAAGATCTTATTCAAGAGGTAAAGAACCTTCTGAACCTCTTCGTGAGCCTACAGTAGAGGAGATAGTTCCTACGGAACTATCTTTTTATCATGACAGAGAATCTCTTAGGAACCAACTCTCTTGTTTAGATCGTGTTGATATTTATCCCACTCAAATTACAGAAGGTTTGATTTCTGTAGTTCGTAGAGACTGTCATTGGAATAGTGATTTCAATATTATTATCCCTAATCCTAATCAAAGAATCACCTCTTACATAACCGGGTTTTCTTTTATTTATACATACCCTTTCACCTTAGGGTTTAGACCATCTATTGACCCTGTTATTCTCGAGTTCTGTCATTTCTTCGATGTTTGCTTGGGTCAAATTGGCCCAATCATAGGGAGGGCTATTGCCTGTTTGAGGCATTTGACCAACACAGTCGGTGTTCCCTTTACTTTCCCTCATTTGATTCACCTTTACTCCCCTAGACTCTTCCGCAATGGTGTTTTCACACTAGTAACCAGGAGCAAGAGAGTTTTGGTGAGCCCTGAGGATGACAAAGACCGTGGCTGGTATGCCAGGTTTGTTGCTGCCCCTACTGTTGGTTTAGTGGGTGATGATAATGTTCCCTTCCCTAAGAAGTGGAATTTTGCACGTAAGTCTTTTTAACTTTCTCGTACCTTTTTTCTTCAAATTTGTCAACTTTTCTAATTTTGCTTCTTTTTTTTAGCAACCATGGGAGTTGTGGAAGACGTTCCCAATTTCCGTGATTGGGTAGACAAGTTATTGAGGACCGCACCAATGGATGGTAGGTCTTGAAAGATAATTTCTAACCATTTTGGTTGGAAAGTAAAAACTCATGGTAAGTTATTTCATCTTTTCGTGTATATTCTTTTTTATTGCACTAATTTCAATCCATCTTTTTATCAGGATTTGCTATTCGCGGAGTCACTGCCGAGGCAGTCGTGGCTTCCCGCATCTCTTTGGAAAGGGCTCAAGAAATAATCTTGGGTTCTTCTACAAAAAAGAAAAGTCGTTGCCGTTGAGGAACAAGACTCTGAAGAGGAGGAAGAGGGGGGGCTCTTTGGTGACAAGGCCACGAGCTCGAAGATGCATCATTTCTGATGATGAAGCAAAGGCATCCCCCCGTCGTTCTGTTCCTCTTACCGAGTCTGCTGAGATTCCGGTACTAATTCTTGATGATGACGTTGCTCCCGCTGCTGCTCATGACTCTGCTGAGCAACTTTTTATTAGCGGGTTTGGTAGTGAAGGCTTAGGTCCTGTTTTGGATGAAGGACCCTTGGCTTCTTTTTCGACACCCGTGTCTGTAACTCATTCTTTGCCAATTTCGATTGTTTCTGTTCCTCCCCAGACTATTTTTACCACCTCTTATGTTCCTCCTTCGATAATTCCTCCTCCAACATTCATCGCACTGAGGTTGGCTCCTCAAGTAAGAATGCTGCTATGAGGCGAGTAGTCATTGAAGTTCCTGCTAAGGGCAGTCTCTTAAGGAAATCAGGTCAAGCAGATGTATGGCTAGAGCCTTTAATTGGCCCAATTGAGAAAGCTAAGCTAGAGAGCCATAGTTCCTTGACCCTGATGAACGATATTGTGCACGCCACTTTGAAGGTATTCCCTTTCTCTTTTTTTTACTTTGTAATTTTTCTATCTTTGAGGATTCTTTTTTCTTTTTCCCCTTTTTAGGCCAACCTTATCGGCACAAAGATGATGAAAGAATTGCCCACTCAGATCAATTAGTGCGTGATTCTAAGTTAGAGGCGTGCAATTGAAAGGAACAATTTGAGAGCTTGCAAATTGATGTGGAATATTTAGAAGAGAGCAAGAGTACCTTGGAGCAGCAGGTACTAGCTTTGACTTCGGAGTTGGCAGTTGAAAAGGCTTCCTTAGGCCAAGCAGATAAAGACAAACTCGCCTTGAAACTTCATATTCAGAATAGCTATCCAAGGCTAGTAAAGAAATCAGAGAGTTGAAGGCTCTTTTGAATAAAAAGTAAGCTTACGCTGGGGAGCTCGTACAAAATTTGACTCAGGCACAAGAAGACCTTCGAGCTTCTTTCTGATAGGGTGCGTTCTTTAGAAAGCTCCCATGACTCTCTCCAGACTTCTTACACATTTGCCTTGGCTGAAAATGAGAAGTTAAAGAACGAAATTGATGACTGGGAAAGGGATTATGAGATCCTTGAAGATAAATCTGCTATTAAAATAAGTTGGGCGTTTTTGAATTCACGCCGTGATACCCTACTTGAAGATGGCCAAGAAAATTTCAACTTGGAATCTGAGTGGGCAAAAATCAATGAAACTATTGAGAAAATTCAGCAAACTCAAGATTTTCCTTCTCCCGTGGCCGAAGCTTCCGTGGATTTTGAAGTCGATACGAGTATCCCAACTATTTCAAGTCCAGTCGAGCCTGTTGCTGCAGGTTAAATTGAGCCGGCAACTGTTGATACTCCTTCCCAAGTTGAGCTCGTTGTTGTTGATGTTTCTACTTCAGTTCCTCCAATTTCTCAGTGATCAGCCTTAGTTATTTGAATAACTTTGTTTTTGTTTCATTTGAAAAATTGTGGTGAAACCCTTGGCTCCATTTAAGGGTTTATTTTGAGAATTAAAATCCCCAGACCTTTTATGGGGCAGTTTGTATAAACAATTCATAGTTTTGTGACTAAATTCGTACTTAGTCTTAAGTTTTTAAATATTAAGAAGTTTTTCATGTTATTATCTTGAACTTCTGTTTATTTTATTCTTGCCTTTATTTTTAAGGATTTACAGAATAATTTGAATTTTTGTTCATCGAAAATGCTTCTGTTATCTTCATGACTAATTAATTTGAATATGAGTTTTATAAAAGAGGGCCCTTTTATATTCGACACTTAATGAAGAAGACGTCTCAACTTCATAATGGTGTTAACATACGATAAAAGAAATAGGAACACACATGTTTCTTT